AACTTACTTCAACCCTTATTGGAAAGTCATTAAAATATTAAAAGCTTACTACTCCAGACGATCCTTTGCACACCTGCATAAAGTTATAAGAAAAATAACGAGCCCTCTATTATAGACTTTTGAATACATTTTAATGTTATACATGCAGTGGAAATCTTGAAATGAAAATTCAATAAAAATATTAAATCTATGCCCTTTTTCTTTATTACTGTCACTAAGATGGAACTGATGCCAAAGCCTGATGAAATTAGTAATACGATTAAAGAAATTGTTAATATCGCTGTGCTGAGGAGAATAAGAAAATAGTGATACGGTTCAAGAACTGTTCTATCCCCACAATTAAGAGCTGCTAATTGATGAACTCATAGAAATGCATGAGCATGACCAAACATTGAAGAGCTTAATTGCTTAAATCCAGTTCACATAGAGGATCAAATGACGCTTGGAAACTTAATCGAAAGCCTCAGTTTAATTGAAAACTGATTACAAATTTTAGAAAATATAGACTAAAACAAACAGCCATTGTTTCTACAAAACAAAGTTTAAAAAATTATTAGCCTGCTGTATGGAAATTTTTCGGGAGAAAAAAAAAGTTTAAGTCGCCAAACTACTTTGTTAGATTGTATAAAGCCATCTACAGCAAAATAACTTCGATTGGCGATTTTATATTTATATATCCTAAGATTTTATTAAACATTTTTTTGTGTAATTTTTTATTGTACTACAAAATCATTACATATGTAAGATATGGGTAAGAGAGAGACCGAAGATATAAATATTTTCTCTCTCTTTCTCTCTCGAGAATAAAAATGTTACTTTTGTAAATATATTTAATATTTAGTATTATTGTTATTTTTCCATTGTGTTCATATTTGTCTCATATATGTCTTGAGCATCGTTAAGCATGTTAAATTATAAATTAAAACTTGTAAATATCTCAAGAATGTTTAAATGTGTACTTATATACACAAAAAATAACAATTACATTTTGTATCTGTTAATGTCAGACAAATTGACAGTTGTATGACGAAACAATATTTTTATTTTATTAATATTATTATCATGGTAAATTAAACATATGTATATTGTCATTTTTAATTTGTTTTGTAATCTTATATTGCATTATGTTGCAGTGTATTTTATTGTATTTTTATATTAATAACAAAATAAAGAATGAATTTTACTGCAGAGTATGTGTAAAAAACTTCTACCGACAATCCGACTGGACTGCCATGTTTTTTTAGGTTCAGGTCAAATTAACCCTATACTGCGCAATGTAGCAGATCTGCTACAACCTATTTAAATAATCGATTCCTTAAATTGTGTGTGTTTAAAGCCGTCGCTGCGCTTCGTATTAAATCTGATACGTCCTTACGTACTAGGAAATAAAACTGCATATAATACCTCGCAATCGTTTTAGTTCGCGCGTGAATTTTGTAAGTTGTCCGGCAAGTGCCTAGTCGCATTGAGCACGCATTGTAGCTTCTCAGATTTTTTTTGTTTTATTCGTTTTTTCGTAATTCTTTTATTTTGGCTGTATGAACTTTGTTTAGAAGGTAAGTAATATAAATATAGATCGAGCTAATTTATATTTTTATGAGTAATTTCTTTATAATTCGCCTCTTTTTACGGTTGTATCAGACCCGATACATTGCTTTTTGTTACAGGGTCATTATGTATGGTAAAAGACCTTTGTCAGAGCATGAATTAGAGGAGTTGGCAGCAAATTTTTGGAACAGTGATGACGAATTGGACAATAGTGATTCTGGAGAATGTTTTAGAGATGAAACAAACTTAGATTCTGACGAGAATATTGATATTCAAAGCTTACCTGTAGAGCTTGAAGATGAGGTTACTGTCACAGAGTTTCCAGACCAACCAATAGAACCTATTGAGGAGCCAACTATCGTCGATGTCGATGTGGAGGTTGAGCCAATCACTACTCGAATCAAAAATATATTGTGGAACAAAAAATACCTATCCATTGACGAACTGGCGAAGACTTTTTGAGGAGATACCAACCTTTCTAATGCTATAATGGATTTGTCAACACCATATGCTTTTTTCAAGTACTTTTTTGACAATGAGTTGATCTAAAAAATTGTAACAGAGTCCAATACATATGCTATTCAAAAGGATCCGAGTAAACCTGCTGGACTGACCACCACAGATATAAATCAATACCTAGGAATTTGCATCTATATGTCCCTAGTTCACATGCCTAATTGTCGTAGTTATTGGTTTAATTCCCTAGGCTATCAGCAAATAAAAAACGTAATGATGAGAAAATATTCGAATTTATAAGAAAATGTATAAATTTCAACGACAATACAAGTTTGGACCAAAATGATGTGGATCGAGATCGTCTTCATAAATTACGACCCCTTGTCGATTATTTAAATAACAAATTCCAAAGCATATCATTGGAACAAAAACTTTCAGTAGATGAGCAGATGTGCGCCTTAAAAGGAAGGCACTATATGAAACAATACATGCCTGCCAAACCCCACAAGTGGGGATACAAACTTTTCGTTTTATGCGGTGTTAGTGGATATTCCTACAATTTCGAAATATACACTGGTACAGAAAATGATAAAAGGAATCGTCGGGTAAATGAAACAGACCTAGGAGCAAGTGCCAATGTAGTTGTCAGATTATCTAGGATTATCCCGGAAAATCACAATTATGTTGTTTACTTTGACAACTATTATACGTCATTGCCTTACTTCATTATCTTGCTACCAAAGGTATATATTCCCTAGGCACTGTTAGACGAAACCGTATTCCAAACTGTAAGTTACCATCTAAAGATGAAGCAAAAAAAATGGATCGTGGGACTTCAGTTGAGTATGTGTGTGACTTTGAAGGCGTGGAAATATCGTCAGTGGCCTGGAGAGACAACAAGACTGTTTGTTTGTTGTCAAAATATGCTGGAGAATTGCCGAAAGGAAATGTTGAAAGGTTTGATAGAAAAAGAAAACAAAAATCAACATTGAATGTCCTAAGTTGGTCCAGGAATATAACCAACATATGGGAGGGGTGGACCTTATGGATAGCCTGATTGGCCGCTACAAAATCAAAATTAAATAAAAAAAGTGGTATATGAAGCTAGTCTATCATCTTCTTGATATGACGCTTGTAAATTCTTGGCTTCTTTACCGTCGATGTTCCAGAGAAAAGGAGGCAGAGAAATATATGAAACTTGCCGAGTTTCGGGCTGAAGTGGCATATTGCTTATGCAATGTTGGAAGTAATCGTTTGGTGAAGAGAGAAGGCCATCAGATCTTGAAAAAGAAATAGCCGAAAAAAGATGAGGTCAGCAACAACAACGTATATTCCTCCAAAAGACGTAAGGCTTGATGGTCACTCACACTGGCCATTGTACAAAGACACAAGACAGCGATGCAAGATGCCCAAGTGTACTTCTTTTTCGTATATTCAATGTTCAAAATGTGGACTATATCTTTGCCTTAACAAAAATAATAATTGTTTTCATAAATTCCATTTAACTTAGATATTTAGTTATTGTAACATATTATACTTATTAATAATGTAATAAAATTTGTTTTGTAAAAATTTCCGCTATGTATCATATATGATACATGATACAACAAGATTTTTCAAAAAATTAATGTTTTTTTGAAAGTTACATTTTTTTTACTATTTTTAGGCATAAGTTTATACCCTAATGCAGTTAAAAATATATTTTTTTATTACAATACAAAAAATCGCGCATTATAGAGTTAATAGTACATTGTTTACCGGGTAGGAAAAGCTTAACATTCCTGGACGACTGTGAAGATTGCTAAGTCGAGGCGCAAGCCGAGACTTAGCAACACAGAGTCCAGGAATGTGGCTTTTCCTACGAGGTAAACATACTATTTTTCCGCAAATCGTTTAAAATTCGACAGATATTGATTGATTTAAAAAAATCGCGATAATTTTATTCCCAAATAAATGGTGCTTTGAAATTCCTAATAAAATTACTTGTTACTATGGAAACGTATTGAGGTTGAATTGTCAAACTTGACGCTTATAAATTAATTGCTGGTGTTCTCGAAAGTAAAATGATAAGTGATGATGTTCCGTACTAACAACTGTACGGAAATATCATTTTCTTACAGTAAGGAAATGACATTTCCTTACAGTAAGGAAGTCCTGACTTTTTCTTCAAGAAATTTTGACAGGAATGTCAAAATTTCCTGGCGATTTGCGGAAAAATAATTTATATACATACATATATGAAATTCTACCCCAACTTACGCGAATTGGACTAACACGGTTATCGCTCGGTCCACATATCGCATAAGTTCAGGGTATTACTAAACATTTTAAGGTTTATACATTGTCAAAATATAATGTCATAGTCAAAAATCCGTTTCCCCCAATATCTTTTGAACGGTTGTACTTGTATTAGTGAAATTTGAAGGGAGGTAATAAACAGACGTAGGCCTCTTAACTAGTCATAACAAGTGACGTAATAGTGACAGATGACGTTATAGCGCCACCGTGATAGATAATTTGAAATAGAACCTTATGGCAAGTGATACCTCGTTTAAATGCTATTAAACATACTTATTCAACCAAACCATACCAATTATTAAACAAATACTAAAATTGTAGTTTCTCATTTAATTAATAAACATTAAAATCTCCGTCTCCAGTTACCTGTCAAAGAGTTGACGTTTTTTAAATTCTTTAATGGTTTTTAGATCAACGTCAACTTTTTAACCAGTTGCGAACGTTAGAATATTTATTAATTAAATGCAAAACTACAATTATTTTCATATACGTACATATTTAATCATACTAATTTTATTTGGATTTAAGATGATTTTGATAACTAAATACTAAAATTCTAGCATTTAATTAATAAACATTCTAACGTCCGCCTTCGGTCATTTGTCAAAAAAGTTGAAGTTTGTCGTTTCTGTTTCTGCTTAGTTTAGCCAATTCTGTACTTATTTTTTGTTTGCAAACGCGTTTCTAACTTAATATTTAGTTTCTCTTTCTGCTTAGTTTAGTCCATTCAAGTTTAGTCAAGTTGTTTTTAGTTAGTTGTTCTTAGTTAATACTTAGTTTAATTATTGTTTAACGAAACGTTTAAATTTTTTAAAATTTTTACAAGGGCAGAATGGTACGTACTATAGCCTACAAAGTAGCAGCTGTGTTAATAATTGGTGAATGTGGAAATAATTTACTTGCAGCGGGACGTCTTTTTAATGAAAGGTACCCCGATCGTCCTACATCGATAGCCGTTTTAAGGAAGTAAGTAACTAAGTATGGCTTCTTCGGAAGTTTAAACAAACAGGTATAGTTTAATATGTCAAACGATCTGGTCGACCACCAATTAGTGATAACAAAAAAATTGACATAATTTCAGAAATTGTAGTGAACCCTACATCTTCTACAGCCCAAGTTGCATCTCTTTATGGAATCAGCCAAAAGACAGTACACCGAATGTTGGCTAAAACAAATTTTATCCATACAAACTAAAAATTGTGCACCAACTTTCAGATGGTGACCCCGACTGAAGACTAGAATTATGTGAAAATATGTCCAATAAAATTAACCAACTTATGTAATTGGACATAATTATGTAATTATGTCCAATTACATAAAAAAAATTGTTTTAGTGAAAGTACTTTTTCTCTCAATGGAAATGTTAATGCACGCAATGTAAGGTACTAGAATGACACAATGGAATGACACCTCACGTCTTTCGTGAAACACACACTTAATTTCCAAAAAAAAAAAAATGTTTGGGCAAGTTTTTTGGTAAACCGCTTAGTTGGGGGTTGTTTTTCTCAATAATAACTTAACCGGTGAAGTGTATCTGGATATGTTACAAAATGCAATTAAGCCGTTAATACTTGAAATTCTGGAGGTAATCCAGATGAATTCGGTAAGTTGGAAATAACGTTTTAACAAAATGGTGCTCCTGCACATCATTATGGTGCAGTAAGACATTCCTAGGTTAGGAATATCGAGTAGATGGATTAAATGACGAGGTACGATAGAATGGCTAGCTCGGTCACCGGACCTCACATTATCAGATTTTTTTTTGTGGGGATACTTAAAATCTAAAGTTTACGCTACAGCACTCGACAATATTCACATTTTGAAACAAAGAATTGTTGAAGAATGTAGGACAATTTCCCCCGACACATTCGAATGAGTACGCCAATAGTTTAAAAATAAGATGCATTACTATCAGAAAGTAGATGGACCACGTTTTAAATACTTACTATAAGTACTTGTTAAATATTTATTAATTAAATGAAAGTTAAAATTTAGTAATTATTTAATTTGTTCATTAAAATGAGCTTAAACTGAAACAAAATTATTATGATTGAATATGTATTTTCAATACCTTTCAAAGGAGGTATCACTTTATATCACTTAAATAGGACACAGTGGAGCTGTAACGTCATCTTTTACTATTAGGTTACCTGTTATGACTAGTTGAAAAGCCTACGTATGTTTATTACCTCCCTCCAAATTTCACTAACATAACAATAACCGTTCAAAAGATATGATTTGACTAGCACTGTATAAATCATGTTGCCGAAAAACTGCAATAACTGTAAGAAAAATCTTAAGGTTTGTCATCTTCAGAATATTTTTAGTTATTCTTCCCCTTTCCTGGGTCGTGGTCTTTTAAATTTTTACATATTTTTACTTATGGTACATGTGAGTTTTATCTTAATTTTTTTTAAGTTTTTAGACTCGGTTTAATATCTCAGAACACTAAGTTTTCTGTTCTTTATCTTATATTGATCTTTTGTAGGACGGTGTATTTCTATTTATTTTCTAATACATTTTTATATCAACTGTGTTTTCTATTAGTGTTGTTCGTGTTTTTTATTTTTTAGCGACGTTGATAAAACAAAACAATAAAGCTTACCTTAAATAAGTCATTAAGACTACTACTTTCCCATTCTGCTGGTTGATAAGCATTGACTGCTTCATCTTGAAACTTACTGGGAAGGTTTTCAACTGGTGGATCATAGCCCAGGTCAGCTACCAAATATGCGGTGTAAACGTTTAAGCCGAAAAAATCGTGAGTTCCATTTATGTATTCAATTTCTTCCTGTGTAAACGTTGGCAAACGAGATTGTGCACGTCCTTCTACCTTACTACGTTCAGCTACTCTTGTCTTTACGATTTCTGGATAGTCCCCAACGTAAATGGGATTGGCATAGATTCCCAGCTAAAAATAATATGAAAAACGTAAAAATATAAATACTTAATATACAATACTATAATTATAAGGACAAAAGACAGAGAAAAACTATTGCGATGAATTACGGAATGTCACGAAAAGTGAATCCAGTTAGGAAAGAGGGTCATCAGGAAAAAAAAACTATGCCATTTAGACAAGAGTTTCATGCAAATTATTTCAGCAAATTGTTTTTATTGTATTTTATAAATATAATGACCAAAATGATTTTTCGTAACTGCATAAGTTCACATTCGGTAATTACATATTCTTTTATAAGATTTGAGGTTTATGTTCTTAGGACACAAACCTAAAAGAAGCCAACCAGAGGAAATACAAAAATAAGATCAGAACTTCAACCTGAAATCAAAAATTAAGATATATCTAAAGGAAATGAAAAATATTAAAGCTCCTTACAAAGGTACAGCAATAGTGAGAATATTTTAAAATTAAATAAAAACATGTAATAAATGCTCTCCATACAGTAGTCAATTCTTAGTCAATAGTCTTCAATTCAGTAGTCAATAGTCTTCCACATTTTCATATTTAACAATGTGTCCAGTATTCTTAATATGTTGGCTAAAAGCTGTACTACTAGGCTTCCTCACAATATCACTCTCGTGCAGAGCTATTCTTTTTGAGAGTTTCTGGCTGGTTTGACCGACATACACTTCCGAACAGGAACCATATGGAATAGAATACACTACATTGAAGTTATCCAGTTTTTTAACTCTTTCTGTCAGGTGAGTAATGTATGTCCCTAATCTTTTGTACACTGAATTTGCTATCACTATGTTAAACTGTCTGAAAAGGTTTGTGATCTGTGGTGATAAACATCTGACGTACAGCAATTTCCCATAAAAAAGTTCTACTGGTTCTCCTTCTAATGTTTTTCTTTAATGTGTTCTTGCCGTTGGTATATTTTGGAAGAACAGTTTGTTAAACAGCATTTTAGGATAGTGATTTTTTAAAAAATCTCATAAAGTAACTTGATGTTCTTATTGTAGTTAGAAGGGTGACAAATTCTTTTTATTCTGTTTTCAGACCTTTGATGATATTAATCTTCTGTTCATCCGGATGATACAAGTGAAAAGGCACATAACCACCTGAGAATGTTTTCTTTCTGTAACAGTTTAACCTTACACACTGCACATATGAGGTCGTCTACATATTGGTAAATGAAGGGGAACTGGAAATCAACTTCTTGAATACAGTAGTGAAGTAGGGAGTTTATTACAATTTCTGCCAAAGATGGGGATATAGCTCCACCCACTCCTTTTATTTGGACGTTGAACTCTGCTTAAATAGGACTTGACAAGATGTAACAGATTGGAAAATAGAGTCAACTTATCATAACATACACAGATGACCTGCACTTGAGAACAGAATTCATTTCCTTGCTGTTTTTGGTTCTTTAGGAGAATTTTTCCAGCTTTGGACCTATTAACGAAAACGGAGTATGGCGATTCAGATACAACCATGAACTCTACCAACTTTTCAAAGAGGCGCCGATCTCAGAATTTTTCAAACGTGTGTACAATACACAAGTCTGAAAAATAGAGAAGAACAAAAAAAATGTATTGGGCAGAAGATCTAAAAAATTCGTACGCTTACGATGGATAAATAAAGCAAGAAACAAAGAAAAATGGACGAAGTAAGCTAATACTTCTGTCCAGTAGTGCATACATGTAGCTTACATATATAAATACTCTGCAATACAAATACTTTGTAGATTTTACTAATAGGTTTAAATAACAAATAAGGTTTAGAATAAAAATATCTACTTGGTAAGTACTTACTCTAAAGTGCTGCATCCTTTCGGTAGCTTCTATATCTTCTGACTTATTAGATGCTGGTATATATGCGGATGTGTCAAGAGTGATAGAAATAATTCCTTAAAATTTAAAAAACTTAAACTTCTGTTTGGTTTAAAATAATTAAATATACATTATCCCGATTAACACAGTGTGTTAATATGGACAATAGCGTCAGAGGCCAAACCACATGTGTTTGTGACATTTGTATTTTTTTTTTAGTAAAATAAAAACTATTTGGATATGTTGTGTTGGTTTTAGTAAATTTTAGTTGTTAGATTTTATTTTTTGTGTATCTCATATATGAGTGTCGTCGCCTACTAAGAAAAAAGGGAATCTTTAGGTTGGTGGCCATGTCTCTTAAATATGATCAACAAATATCTTCTCTCTTTTGCTGAAGATTTGAGGATTTCAAATTAAACAAACTGCATTAGAAACTATGACTAATCGTCATCGATCTCTAAAATAGACCGAAGTGGAAGAAGCAATATTTGCAATCGCTAGTGGGATTGACTCTGGAATCGCGAACAAGATTAATCCTGCAATCGGTAGCGGGAATGACTTTAATTCCAATCACTCTATCAAGGATCCAGATTTTGACCCTATACCTGGAGTTATACAAAACCGATTTCAGTCATCTGATGGAGAGGATAACGCAGATGATACAGATATTAAAGACGCTCTTCTAGACGTCTTGAAGAAAGAGACTTGAAAACAAGAGAATGACCAAAATGAAAAAGATAACGAAACGCCAGCACCTTCCACTGCTTGGACCGAATATGTTGGTCGACACAAAAATATACAGTTTACGGGTCCCAATAGCATGCAGCAGAATTTTCTGCCCGAAATGACTCCGCTTTAGGCATTTTTCCATATCGTCGAGATGAAGTTATGAAATTTATAGTCAGAAGCGAAACTTTGACTTCTAAGGAAGCAAAAAATATATACGAATAACAAAATGAAAATCAACGAATCCGTAAAAAATGAAAAGGTTTCTGGGGGGAACCCTTGGATGGAGTTGGTACAAGTAGGTTCGTTTCCGAATTAATTGGAACAAAAGGAGACTTATCGTCAAAATATTCGCAGGGCAACTATATCGCGGAACAGATATCAAGTGCTGCTGAGTGACCTACGTTTCAGCAATAATAAAAACAATTCAATAAGATTAAAGTATCGGAAAAATTAAACCTTTTTTAGAGATTCTTCAAAATAAGTTTTAATCTATAATATATCCTAATGAAAACATAGTCACGGACTAAACTATTGTGCCATGGAGAGGGAGCCTACTTTTTAGACAACATATACCAAATAAGGCCCCCAAGTATATTATTAAGTTATTTAAGCAATGCCAAGCGAAGGACACACGTGAGACCTTAAATTATATGCGGGAAAGTCAGTGACAGGGTAACGGGAAGTCGGACTATAAACTAAACTGTCTTTGAGATTATGTGCAAAGCTTTTCTATCAAGGGCTAACTTTAAATAACGCTTGAAAACAAGCGCATATTGTAGAAGAGCTAAAAGCGCATAAGAGAAATGTTCTAAAAGATTCTTTAAGAAAAAATAAAAAAGGCAGAGATGGTGTCCTGCGAGGAAAAAAAACGGAATAATATTTTTGAAATAAAGAGACATATGAGATGTTAGGTTGCTATTAATAAAGCATGCTCCAATTATGACGCCAGTTTGCCATAGGATTACAAAGGAATCATCAGGCGAAACCGAGGAACCGAACGATGCCACAGCTAGCATCTTCGGTACTGCCAAGGCATACACGTCAACAAGTGGTAGCGATTTCCCTTATTCCCTGGAAAATCAGATAGAATCTAAAAATTTCGAAGATATTGCAAAAACAACCACAGGCAGAGAAGCTAGTTCCAGTAAAGCAAAAAGAAAATCCCGAAAGACAAAAGAGAAGCCACTTACATTTCTGGCTTACAATAAGGAAAAATCTGGGATTTGTCAGATAAGATAAAATAGCATATACCCAAGTAAAATGTAAAGTTCTAAAAAAAGACTCATTCTTAACCAAATTTAGCAATTATACCAAATACCTTAAACATAACACCATGTATATTAATAAATTATTATAAGAAAAAAAAATTCGCTTTTGAATGTTGTAAGGATGTCCTATACCTAGGTGTCTCAGTTTTTGGGTAATTTACAATAATTTAAATTCTTAATCGATAAATCGATTTTATCTAGTTAGTTAATGTCATTGTACGACATTAACATTTTTGACATAACGGTCTAGTAATTGTCAAAAATACAAACATTCGTTTATTATCTTTAAAATTAATTGTTTCTAAAAATTGAGAATTACGCTATTTACGAAAGGATCGACATAATACTTGGGATTGGGGATTGTTTGAAAAATTATCTTTTCTTCCAAAGTTTACGCTCAGAAGTATCCTGATTGAGAAGACCCAGATAGGAAGTTTTTGAGAGATTTCTAAATATATTCTCTAATATAATATATATATATATATATATATATATATAATATATATATTATATATATATATATATATATATATATATATATATATATATATATATATATATATATATATATATATATATATATATATATCGGAAAAAGGAGTAGGACCGTCAATCCAATATAAATATATAAGGATCACTCAGACGAGTGGTGGGTTCTTATATCGGTCTCTAGGTGGAGACAAAGTGACAAAGGTAATGCTACTGTCCTTATGGACAAAGATCAATATTTCAGTTTGAGTAAATCACTGTTAGATGATGATAGATACTATCAACCACTTTCTTCTAATCCTTGTTCTAAATTCACAAATAAAATAAATAAATTCATAACACATTTAAAAAATATTAAGATCATAGATCAACCTTTAGCTAAATCTTTACAAAATTATGATGGATATGCTCCAAGATTCTATTGTTTACCAAAAATACATAAACCTACGGTGAGCATGAGACCTATTGTGTCATCTATTAATTCACCTAATATAAAAAATAGCTAAATTTCTAACAGACATCTTATCTAAATCATATAATTACAACAATGACTTTAATATTGTTGATTCTTTCAACTTTAGTGAATTTATTAACAATTTTCAACTACCTCAAGGTTACATTTTAGTAAGTTTGATGTGGTGTCTCTTTTCACTAACTTACCTCTGTCCAGTGTAATCACTTCCTTAAAAAATCATTGGAATTCTATTAAACCTAACTGCCCGGTGTCTTGGGATATATTTGCAGAACTGTTGCAACTTGTTTTTGACACTAATTTTTTGGTCTTTGATGACAAATTTTACCTTCAAAACATTTGGTACACCTATGGGTTCCTCAATCTCTCCCATCCTAGTTAACTTCGTATTGGATGATTTGTTTTCTGACCGTTTAGGTCTTTTGGATATTCAAATCTCTTTTATTAAAAGGTATGTGGATGATTTATTATTAGCCCTACCACCTGACAAGGTTCAGGGTACCCTATCCCACTTTAATGAGTTTGATCCTCATTTACAGTTCACTGTTAAACTTGAGGACAATACCACCAATAGTATACCCTTCCTTGACATGCGTGTCATCAGAATGGGAGAGAACACCCTAACCACAAGTTGTATAGAAATTTAATGGCCTCTAATAGGTTTCTTAACTATCATTCCTGTCATCCCATGAAATATAAACTAAACCTTATAAAAGCTTTGAGCTCCAGATTAAATAAATTGACACATCCAATTAATCGAAGGGAATCCTTTAAGTTATTGAGAAATATTCTAATAGAGAATTCATATCCTTCCTCTATCATCAATAAATACCTTTATTCACTTAGTTATGGATCCTCAATTTATGACATACCCGATGGTGACCAACTTAGAAACATCTCTAATAATTCAATAAATAGCACTGTTCTGCATAATACTGTTCTTGAGAATACTATCACACACTATTCTTCTTTACCTTATTTCCCTCAAGTTACTGAGAAGCTATTAAATTGTATAAACAAAATAATATACCTGTTAAAATTGCTGTTAAGAATGCCAAAACTGTTAGAAATTTGTTCTCTAAAACTAAAACACCCTTGTCCACTTTGGAACAAGTGAACACAATTTATAAAATTCCATGCGCTAATTGCGATTTATGTTACATTGGTCAATCTGGTAGATCATTAAAAGGTCGTCTCACATCACATCGTAGCGACATTAATTTATCGAAACACACTTGTGCCCTAGCACAACATGCGATAAATACAAAACATGAAGTAGATTTCAATGAAGTTAAGATCCTTGCCACTGAACGCAATCTAGCTAAAAGACAGTTTTTGGAAATGTGTTCAATATTAAACACCCTAATGCTTTGAATAAGAGAACTGACATAAGTAACTTGAGCCAAATATATCATGCTTTAATTTTGCAGAATTAGGCTACTTGATCTTTTCACTACATTAATGTCATATTAGGTGTACTATTTGAAACTTTTTCCATTTTTCATAAAATAATTTATATACATAAATAGAAATAAAATAAATAAATATATCAATAAAATAACTTAATATTCTTTACTTAATTTACTATCACATATGCAACTTACATTGCATTTCCATACACTAATTACTTTAATTAGTGCTACCAATGTTATACTAAAAATAATACAAATATTGTAATTGATTCATAGAATCCTTTGCAATTCACAGTTCCAAGTATATTGAACCTTGGGCTGTTTGGAAATTAACGAATCGTTAACCACCTGTGGCTGTTTAACTAACCAAATGATTAAAGTTATTACATACTTATGAGGTTGAATGAAAATCTCCTGTTTGTAAATTTGGGACTGATTAGTGAGGGGAGTTGCTAGTACACTACCAACTTTTTTCACTGTGTTGTCTTTTTGCAACCGGTAGTCATCCAAACTCATTTAAACTTAAATTAACCGCCCAAAATTTGGGTTGGTATCTACACCTTGTTGATCTGTCGAAAGTATTTTTGACCTCAAGGTTGGCTGTCTTTTTCGCGTTTAGTTCGTTCCTGTTTCATTAAACGCCATTTTCTCGGCGACATTCATAGGGCTTTGATCGGTAACTTCATTTATACTACTTTTTAAAAATT